CCTCCACACACACTAAGGCACCTGCACAGGCTGATGAGCTCTTCAGAGCTTCAAAATGCAGTCCTTTCGCATGGGGGTGGTGGTGGTGGTCACATTTCCCAAAGCTCAAGTACAGAGAGAAAACACACCACTGCTTGGTCAGGGAAATAAACACAGTGTCACAAATCTCTGGGTAGAAATTTCACTTTGCAGTTGTGACACTGCCCACCAGAACTGCCCTCCCACGTTTCCCCAAATGCAGAAACTCTCATGTGCTCTTTGGTTAAAGTAGCTGTCTGAGCACAAGAAGCGAACAACGCTACACTCCAGGTCACGAGATCTGCCTTCTTGTTCTTTCTGTTAGACGGTAAACTTTGCAAAGCACAGAATTATGTCCTTTTCTTTCCTTGCAATTCCCCAGTGCCCAGTTCAGTGCTATGCTGAGCCTAGCAGGTATTCAGTAAACACCACTGGCACGGTAAACAGAGTTCTCAGCACTCTGAAAAGGGAGACTGCTCATAATTACCAAAGGAGGTTTGAAAAAAAATCAGGCTTCTTGGATTCTGCATATATATATATATATATGCATATTATATATATATATGTATGTATTCATAGGAAAGAGACAGAGGTGATAGCCACAGAGATGAAAGGGCCTGCGAAGGGAAAGAATTAAGATATAGCCAGATGGGGGAAAACAGACCCGCAATAGAACAGGTTAATATACAAGAATCTATTGATTACCTTCCAGGCCCAAATGTATGAATACATTAATCTACTTTAGCATATTGCAGATAACATGGTGGTTCATGGATTTATGATCTCAGAGGTTTTACCACATGATATAGCCATGGGACATCTGTGTGTGTGTTCCAGAATGTTCCCAATGTCAACAAGATCAACGTAACAGTGCAGGCCTCAAAATGTACAATCTTTTGGTCTTTGGAACTTTTGATGGTGCTGCCATGGTCTTTCCCTCCTTCCAAACAAACTCCTCGTGAAGCCCACCTGGCATGGACGGTGCAGCCACTCACATTTGTCACTCAAACATTGACTGGAGAAAAGATGCAACATGCAGCACAAAGAGCTATGCCTGGGGGCTGGAGGGTCTGCACCGGTCTTGCCATCCTCCCAGGCCTCACTTTCCCAATCTGTAAAAGGGGACCATCAGCTGTGCAAGATCCCAGCACTTGGAAGGCAGAGGCAGGCAGATTTTTGTGAGTTCCAGGCCAGCTGGGGTTACAGGAAGATCAGTCTCTGTACCGCTCATTGGCCGAAATGAGGCTCCACTGTAACCAGGGGACCACTGGCATTGCTAGGCAGCAGTAGATGCTGGTAATGACCCAATGGGCAGCAGGGTCTCCTGGAATTTCTCAAGAAGGACAACTAGACTAGGGAGAAAAATTCTTTCCTATTCAACAATTTTTGACTTAAAAAACGACTATAAAACATCAGATCATCTTCCCTGTTGGGTTGTAAAGTAATCAGAACAAGTATATTAGGCAAGGTACCTTAGCTTAAGATCAATAGCTTCAAAATGACAAAGTTTCTGGATGGAGTCCCAGCTCCCCCATGTACTAGATGTGCAACTGCTACTGAGTCTTTAAGAAGCCTATGTCTGCTCATCAGCAATATGGGGTGAGAATAGGAAGGCATTATGAGGATCAAATGACAGTCTGGTGAGAGCTTGGCACATTGCCTGTCAGCTCTCAACATTAACAGTGATCATCATTAGTGTGTGGTATTTCCAAACACAGCTGAGAATATGCAAATAACCCAAATAGCACTCAAACAACTGAAGAGTGTCACAATGTACATGACTAACACTTGCATGCTAAACACTTCCTGTAATATATAGAATTTGTTTTCATACTGAACCCTTTGAATTCCATAAAATAAGGATCATCATCGCCACTTTCTATTCTATTCTTGCATTTATTTTTAGATTTTAAAAACTTTTAAATTACGTATATGTGTGCATGTCTGCATGTGGGCATATGCATGTAAGTGCAGGTGCTGGCAGAGGTGAGAGGTAGGATCCCCCCAGAGCTGGAGTTCCAGGCAGCGTGAGTCACTTGACTCGGGTACTGAGAACAAAGCCGGAGTCCTTCGCAAGAACAGTATGTGCTCTTAACCCCCGGGCCATCTCCTAGCCCTATTTTATTTTTGAGATAGGGTTTTGTGTAGGTAGGGTTGGACTTAAACTCACCGTGTAGCTGAGGATAGCCTTTAACCCTTGATCTTCATGCCTCTATTTCCCCAGTGCTATGATTACAGGCGTGTGCTACCATGTTCAGTTTACATGGTGTTGGGGATTGAATCTAGTTTGTCATGCATGCTAAGTAAGCATTCTACCAATGAATCAGCTTGAGGTTAGGGGGAGAGCTTCAGCAACACCCCCACCCCAAACGATAGGTCCACTGATCACCAGGGGAGTAATACTAGTTGGAGAGGAAGGGAAGGTGAAGTCTCACAGAGAAGGCGTTCCAGGGAGCTGCTGTCCACAATGACCCACTGTGGGGGTCAGAACACGCTAATATATGCAAAAGCCCTGATCACACACAACTCCACAGAAGAGTTCAATGATGTTCACTACACTATAAAGAAAAATCTAATTATACAAAATGTGTGCTTTATAAGACAGATGGGCATATAAGTGACACCTGAAAGGGTTACATTCCCGACAGACAATTCATCTATGTTGTTTACCTTGCAGTAATACATCAAGAACACACAGATGCTTAAAAGATGAGGCACTATTAAAGCTGGAATGAAAAGAGACGCCACCACCTAGTACAACCAGATGACTTTCTCTTGAATCTTTACTATCTTATTTTAACCCAGTGCTTTTATTTTTACTTTATTTTTTTTAAGAGACAGGGTTTCATTCTGCTGCTTAAGTTGGTCTCTAACTCCTGGTTGGTCTCAACTGATCCTCCTGCTTTTGCTGAGTAGCTGGGATTACAGGTATGTGCTACTGTGTTTGCTCACTGCTTGCTTGAGTTTCTATTTAGTCCCGAGGAAAGAGGTTCTTTACTTCGCTCTGCCTATTGGTTTGGAGTTGTGGCTTCTACACTTTAGCTGGTGCTGCTTTGAAAGGGCTCACAAATGAATTCTACCAGGTATTTTGAAGGAATGGATAGTAAAATAAAGATGTAAACATTATTTAAATACCAACAACTGGGGGGGAAAAGTCTTTGAGTGGCCTTCCTGGTACACGCAGCTGTCAGCTTGGGTTCCCAGTTTCTTGGCCAGAGCTGAGGCCGGCAACAGAAACAGGACACGTGTTCAGTTTTCGCCCAAATGCCCCTTACAGCTCCCTGCTTATAACCTTAGATCATTGCCCCTTGAAGTTAGATTTTGTTTTATGTCTATCCATATCATATTCGCTAGGTCCCATAAAAAGTGATTTCCAAGTCCCCAAATGAAGCTTATCAGAATCTGACTACTTGAAATGCAGTTAAGTCAAATTTGGAAAGATTTTAAAATGGGCATTTCAAATAGACAAAAATCGTAACGATGATGTCGTTAAACTACTCTTGATTTCTGGTTATGTGAGCAGGGACAATCCTCCAGAACTAGGAAGGAGGCCCTTTCGTGGCAGCCCATGCTCATCATGACCCAGCAGTGTCCAGACAACAGAGGCTACTACACTGAAAACAGAGGTGACTGTGAACCTACAGGCTAGGCTGGCCAGACTCAACAAACAGAGGCATAAAACACTCAGTTCTGCTTCAAATGCAGATAAATAAAAGATACACACACATGCGCACACATACACAGGCACAGATACACAGACACACACATGTATTTTTAAGTCCCATGTAATATTTAGGACACATTTCTATTGCAACATTATTTGTTATCTGAAATTCAAATGTACCAGAGTATCTCATATTTTATTTAACACCTCTACTCTTGGCTCTAGTCCCCTAGGAAATTTGGGCTATGTGGGAGGTGCAGACGAGTCGGGGCTTTAATTGCTAGCCTAAGAGGACAGCAATAGAATGGCACAGGACGGCCATCCTCCCTCCCTCCCTCCCTTCCTCCCTCCCACCCCTTCTGTAATTCTTCTCCAAGGAGGGTCTGTGGCTCTGGCCAACCCCACTCCAAGTCTGTCCTCTTCAGAAATAAAAACCTTCTCTGATTGCTCTGAGCCCTTTCTACCAACCTCACCTTCCCTTAGCACGTTTCCCACCCTGACTTTTCCCACGGGGCAGCATAAGGAAGGTATGTTGGAAACTTGGGAGAACTGGTTTGCTTCTATACACAATGGTTTTATCTGGTTTTGAACAGGTTTGGCGGGGCTCTTGAATGGAAGTTTCCTTTTCTCCCTCTTCCCCATAGAGCATCCTCTTCCACCCACTTACTGAGATGCCAAGAAGCATATTGGGCATAACTCTAAGACCTGAGTTAAGCCAAGGCTAAACCAGCATATTGCTTGCTTGGCAGATGATGTTGGGGACTCCACCCCAGGACGCTGTCCTGATTCTGGAAATGGAAGCCCTGATCCCTTCACTAAGACAGACTTCCGATTAGTAGTCTTTAGTGACCCACACGCTATAACGACAGAGATTTTATACAAACAGGGAAGAAGCCCTTGCTTTCTGGCTTCCAAGAATGTGCTTGCAGCCAAACATTTACGGCTAAGCTATAAATGCATAAGAAAATGGAAGAAACATTGACACAACAATAAAATGAGGGGGGTGGGTGATGCCACGATGCAATCTGTTATCATTTGGTGCCGGGAAAATTAATTTTTGAAGGCATTTCATTTAACTTTGCAATATTTTGCAGTCTGACAGTTTGATGCTGGCAACTTTTTATTTTCTCTCTTTCCCTCAACCCTAAGGATGGTTGGTAGGGGCAGAGTGAGTTTCATATAATAGCTCCAGAGGAGGTGATCTCTGCTCTGGACTGAGGCAAGCAGAAGTTACTGCTGGCTATAGTTAGAATCCTTCCACCAAAACATCGACTTCAGGGATCCAAAACGTGACTTCCAAAAGGCTAATATGTGTTACCTTCCAGAGCAAGGCACCGGGGTGGGCTGGACGACCAGATAAGGTTGTGTAAGCACTCAAGGTACTCAGATCCCTCGAGTTTAAATCCAGGGAAGCAGCGGTAGGCAATCACAGTCCCCACAGGGAAGGAGGTCTGGAACTCGGAGATGTTCACGTAGCCATTGGAAGAGGCTAGGGGTCTCAGACAGCCTGTGGAATGTGGAAGAAAAGGGGAAGGGTTTCACTTGGCTGTCTTTGCACAGATAAAACTCAAATGGAACACTGGGACTCTTCAGGAGTGCCTCAAAGCAGAAAAGGGCATTGTGGCATGGGCTGCGTGGACAGATGCTGGCTTTCTATCTGAAGTGGCACCAACAGGATCAGATAAGGGGTTAGGAGTGAGGGAGGGTGAGTGGGATACGGACTGGCACATCCCCAGCCACATGGTTCTGGCCCCGATCCAATGTTAGCATCATTTGGTGGGCTTTTACAAATCACTGATGCTCGGGCCCCATGCCCAGGGTCATTATATGTTCAGAAAGTCCCCCAAGTCATCCTAAGGTCTATCAGGACCACTGGGGAGCCCTAGGAGGAAACACACACTCCAGTGGCTCTGTGGGTCAGTGGCTTGGCCAGGTTACATTCCAAACAGTTATGGAATAGAATCCCGACTAAGCTGGTACCACTGGACTTCCAAGAATCTAGCTTTGTTTGAGATGAAATAGGTTAGGAATTCTGTAGTGTGGTAGTTCTCAAACTCAAGCATGCCCCGAAGAGACTGATGGACACGGACTCTGGGTCATGCTCAGGGCTTTTGTCTCAGCAGGTCTCTCTGGAACTCAAGGATCTGCATGGTTAATGTCCAAGTGCTGGTGTGGAGAGGGCCCCACACAGCAGTACGGCCTTACAGTGGGCCCTGCACCAAGCAGAACACTGCTTGAGCTATAAGAGTGCATGTGGGACCTGGATCCTGTATCCTTATTTCTAAATCGCTGGCTTTCTTCAGATCCTGAAGCCTGTTCAGTCAGGTAGAACACTCCCAGGTGCACAGAACTCGGCTGTGTGAGTTTTTCCTGCTATCACTGAATTTTACTGTCTCCAGTAATGTCGCCGGAGGGCATAATGACATTGCAGAGGTGGTATTTTCTAGGGGGCAAGTATGTGTGTAAAGTAAGTAATTTATAATGAAAACACCTGCTTTCCCTTCCAGTCGCCAGACACAGTGTGTTTGTAGTCCATGCACAATGGCAGACAGCCAAACCCTCTTCCAGAGCTGGCTTTGTTAGAAACTCTGTCTTAAGGAACTCTCTCAGCAAGTTGCTGTGTAGTGTCTGTGTATCAGAAGAAAGGCAGCAGCGGTGTGGAACTTAAGGAGGCACACACTGTCAGGACTGTACGGTCCCCACCCTGCACTCCTGTGCCTTAGGCCACTGGAGTCCATATTTGAGCAGGCCCCAGTCCAGAGCTAGTCAGGATGGACTAGACTCAAAAAGGTAGAACTCAACATCTTTTTACTCTGTCTCGTGGTCTTAGACTGTTTGGGGCCTTTTTTCTCTTTCATGTGTGTATGTATAATGTGTGTACGTGTTTGTGATGACACACACGTGTGGAGGCTACAGATCGGTGTCCGGTGTCTTCCTCTGTCATTTTTTATTTTTTGGTTTTGTTTTTGAGACAGAGTCTCTCATTGTGCCTGGGGCTCACTGTTTTGGCTCAGCTGGCAGGATGGTGAGCCCAAACATCTGCCTGTCTCTGCACTCCCAGCGCTGGCATTACAGAAATTTACTGTCACACTCAACTTTTACACAGAAGCTGAGGATCCGAACTTGGGTCCTCATTACTTACTGTGGTAGGGTGGTAGGCACTTTACCTTGAGTGATCGCTCTAGTCCCCTAAATATTCATTTTTCCTGAGCTGGAAATTGGTAATGTTTATGCCAAAAGTAAGTGTGAGGGGTGGGGATGTAGGGGATAGGAATCAGGAATAAAACAGAATCAATAACTGAGAAAAAAAGAGATAAGCTGATTAACACGAAACAAGGGAATGTACTAGAGCATTTACATGCAGTTCGGGTGAGAGGGCACAAGCAATTGGGTCCGCTCCTCTTCCCAAGAAGGAATTGGAACAACAAGATACTTGTGTGAAGCCATTTTTTTCCCAAATAAAAACTGACTCCAACCCATGGTGGGCAGATGCATGTAGACATTGCTCTCTGAAACATAAAGTACCCACCAAAAAAACGGCCTTTGAGCAGCCTGCCCTCCGCTCCTCATGAGGAAATGGCAGGAGGTGTAATTCATACAGTTAATCAGAGCCAAGAGGGAAGGTATGTTCACTCTTGGTTGGAGACAACCCATCCTAAATAGAAGGGTGGAAAGACGGGTTTCAACTCAATAGCTCAATGGGATTTCCATTTGCACTTCTAGGTAATAGAGAAAAAACTTAGGCTGAAGCCCCTGACCTACAGAGGCAAATAAAAGTTATAGACTGAAATGTCACTGTAAGAGCCAATTATAATCCCCTAGGGGACTTGAAGAGGTGCCAGGCTGAGACAACTCGGAATACTACTTTCCTGCTGCACCAGCTGGGCGGCTAAGAGAAAGCTGGTACAGTGGCAGCTGGCAGGACTCGGCCTCCCGTGCAGTGAGGTACAGGGTAGGCTGAGGTCATGGCATAGGCAGGGCACCTCCTCTATGGGATGGAGGGCTGTGAGGAGGAATGATAGCAGGACCTGGGCACGTGGCACTGTTTGGAGTAGCAAATCTCTTAAGAACAGCCAGTCAGGAGTGGGCCTGGTGATGCAGGTCTGTAATCCTAGGTATCTGGGAGATTGAGGCAGGAGGACTGAAAATTTAAGGCGTATCTGGGTTAGCATGTGAGTTCATGGCCAGCCTGGACAACTTAGTGAGGCCTTAGAAAAAAATTAGAAGTAAAAAGAACGGGAGGGGATTATAGCTTGGAGGAAGAGCAGGTACCTAGCATGTACAAGAGACCCTGGATTCAAACCTCAGCAGAAATAAATGAATAAAAACAAAAAGAATAGCCAGCCGGATCTCTTGCTGTCTGAGGAGCAATTTGAGGAAAGCATGGGGAGCCATAGAGAACAGACAGAGCAACTGGAAAGCACATAGTCGAATTCTTTAAAATGATATCGTGAGTGGTCATTATGGAAAAAGAATCCTAAGGATGCATGCTACAGGTCAGAGATACAAAGGAACACAAAAAGAATGAGCGGGGAAAGAGAAAGATGTGTGGGAAACGGGCAGGAAGTGGCTAGAGTTTGAAGAGTTTTCTTCACATGACTTCCACTGTGCTGCGGAGATCTGGAATGAATCAGTGGCTAATGGAGTTTATTTCAACAGGGAGCCCAACCAGGAGCCAGCTGCTTGTTTTGTAGACAGTCTCTGAACAGATAACTAAATCCCATGTCTCCTTTAGGACAGGCTAGAGATACACAGGCCGTAAAACAGGGAACGTGATGGCTGCGCTGTCTCTGTCCTCCCAACTCTAAAGCTTTTGTTCCTTCACGGGGTCATGACTCTTAAGCTCGCATGTAAGAAAACAATTTATTTCCGATGATGGGCCACACAAAGCAATATCAGAGCCTGCCAGTTGTGATTTCCAAGCACAAAGTTAACATTCATCTCAACTTGAACATGCCAGAGCTTTAGGAGCAAATGTGACTGCCCTCCTTCTCTCTCAAATGCTGAATTATGCGCTGGCTTCTTGGTCCTTTGGTCTGAGTCACATGTCAAAAATAAAATCAGAATTAATGTGAACTTGAGGGCTTATTTTCAGAAACAGGGCCCTCTCTGTACGTTGGCTGGGGCAAATTTAAAAAATGCAAGAGGATAAATATTCACTGTGTGGTTTGGATGAAACTTGAATTTGATTATTTTTCTGCTCTTTATGCATTATAAAAAGGGATAACATTATAAAGAGAAAATAGCATCTGTAAGATGGCTTACTGTAGTCTTACTGCTACTGAAATAAGTATAAACACCCTGTTATTTCTATGAAGTACACAATAGCTCATCTCTGTGTTCATAGCCCAGTTACAAGTCTCCTAATCCATTTTTACTTATTATTGTTGTGTATGTGCATGAATGATACATGTGTGTAGGCATATGTGCCACAGCCCACAACTTTTGGCAGTTGGTTTTCTCCTTCCACCTTTGTGTGGGCTCCAGGGATAGAACTCAGATTGTCAGGCTTGCATGGCACGTGCCTTTACCCACTGCATGGTCTTACTAGCCTGTGTCCTAATTTTTAAACTACCTTTGATTTTCTAGAAGAAAGGGGATATCCAACATATGAAGAGCTCTTTTCTGTTCATACTGGGAAATTTACGTATATGGAGCTGAGTCTTTGTAAGGAGTGATGATAGAGATTTCAAGAGTGGTCACAGGAGGACAAAGGGTCACCCATGTGGGATGGCTTTGAATTTTCCCGCCATTGTCTCTGTTGCTGTGTTAGAGAACCATGTACATAGTCTACAGTGAAGCCCATAACAAGAAGAGCTGATGACAGTGGTTCCCAACCCATACCTTGACAGATGGGCAGATTATCCCATGTCCCATCATCACGACATAATGAAACCAGGTTGTACAGGTCAGGGTACCGGATCTTGAATCCCTCATGACAGGTGATCATTAACTTATCTCCATGTCTATACGTCTTGTTATGAATCTCAGCATCTTCAATTTGGGGGATACGGCAGTCTGCAAGTGTATAAAAGATAAACATTACTTTTTGCAATTTAAAATGCTTAACTGCTTTACAATGAAATTCTTACTTTCAGACCTGATCTCACCTTACACAGTCTGACACATGATACCTTACTCGTCACCAGGCTTAGGTGATGGCGAACAAGTTCCATAGCCTGCTTCACAGGAGGAATAGGAAGAAGGACCCAGCATGGAGGGACCTTGCCACAGAAAGAATTTTACTGCCTGTGATATACACTGTACAGTTGATCTTCCGAATAATTTTAGAAATAAATGAAGAAAGACAAGAATGAGCTGTATTTGGGGAATGTGTATAATCTGGTAATCTGTCAGGCTGGTCATTGTAACCAGCAGGATTGTACAGGGGCTGGACTATGGCTGTGTTTGCCACCAGCATTTTCCATCTACCTCCTGTGCTCTTAAAAGGATAATAGAAGCAGTTGTGACAACACACATAAGACCTGAGCAAGCTCAAGCCAAAAGGGGGATGTAGGCAAGAATTCCTATACCTAGCCGAGGAGCTACAGGCAACTGATAGTGGCTGGGAGAAGAAGGGTTAGTTTTCTTTTAGTGTGTAGCCTCTGATAGGATAACCATGCTCCAATGGATGGTCACACAATTAAAAGTAATAAGCAGTACAAACTGGACTCGAGAGGCTAAAAAATGTGGAAATAAAGTTAGGTGGGTAAGAAAAGTGAGGGATCAGGGAGGAGTTGGAGGACAGTATGAACACGATCAAAATATGATACTGTCAGAGAATTAAAATAAAAAAGGGATAGTAGACCATCACACACGCTTGCCAACCTTCCAAAGGCTCAGGGCAGCTAGACAGCTGTGTCCTCAAATGGAGTAGAGTAGACTGTGTGTGAACAGGATGATGATAAGGAGATGCAGGAGAGGGATAGATGAGCAGCAAGGAGCCCACACAGCAAACTGACAAAAGACACACCAGAGTGGGAAATGATGTCTGCTTCTAAATGCATCTACTTCCAGCTTGCTGTGTACAGACCCTGTGCCCCTGTGTGTGAACAGGATGATGATAAGGAGATGCAGGAGAGGGATAGATGAGCAGCAAGGAGCCCACACAGCAAACTGACAAAAGACACACCAGAGTGGGAAATGATGTCTGCTTCTAAATGCATCTACTTCCAGCTTGCTGTACAGACCCTGTGCCCCTCACCATCATGTTGGGATCCTGCTCATTCTACCTGCTGCCCCACCCATCTGGCTTAGGGTACTCTGATCACACAGTTTTTCTCGTCTCTCATGGCACACCTCTGTTTAAATGTTTTGAATTTTATGCATTTTTCTTAGCATTGGGATTAAAGCCAGGACTTGGAGCCTGCTAGGTAAATGCTCTATCCCTGAGCTTTATCACAAGCCCCACTAAGTGTTTCTGCTCTTACACGCATATAGGTTTCTAAATATGACCTGTAGATAGGTTATACTCCAAATTTCTGAATTCTTGATTTTTTTTTAAATAAGGAAAAAAAAATATAAGGATAGTACTTTTCTAATCAGAAACCTTCTCCAGAAATTATTTGGTGCTTTAAATGATGCTGGCGTCTCAGCTACTCCAACAGTCTTCTGAATGCACAGTAAGCTGGAATACTACTAGTAAGATTTGAGATGCTTAAGCTTAGAACCATCAGTGCTGAGGTGCTGAGCCTGGGAGCGCCGAGCAGATAGAAAGGAAGGAGGGCACAGTGGCTGGCTGGCTGGGTGGATGACTCTGGTGTTTGTGAGCTTTGCTGCTTTACAAAGGACCCATCAAGGGAGTGATGGGATCAGGCTGGGTTCACTGGGAGCAGTGTGAGATCTGATACCACAGACTCTGAAAATCAGAGCATGGGCAATGGGGAAGACACGGGCAGTGAGGGTCTCCCTGAAAGTCGGGGAGTGAGGAGCAGAGGACATACACTGTGGATCATCAGGTACATCTTTACCCAGCATTTGCCTCTGTGAGTCACTTTGACATTCCCAGTCCCAGACCTATGCCTATACTTGGCAAAGAAGAAATACAGAGGGACACCACCTGGAGCTCTGCAGAACCCTGCAGCGCACAGCCCTCAGAGCCTGGTGAGCTGGCTTCTGGCACAGCCTGGTGTCCTCCGGACAGCTGTCATCAGGTCTTCCTGTGGCCCCTGGAGTTCTACCTACAGTCTTGACTGGAGACCTGTCCTCTAATTTCAATTTTATCTTAGTTTTCTACATAAGCCAGAAAGGAGTATCTTGACTGTTCAAATTGAACCAATAGTGTCTGAGCTAAAATAGCTGAATTTCTCTCGTCAACCCCAGAACAGTCCTGACTGGAGTCACAAGATAATTGACAGTGCTTTGTGCACTGCTGCTGCCTTCTTCTTAATGGAAAACGTGAATTATGCTTTTTTCAATGGCACTTGGCAGAAATAATTCATAGCAAATAAAAACACATTTATCAAGGCATCTGTCTGTAAAATCTTAGCTGTAAATTGTTCCTGAGGTGGTAATTTATGTCTAAACTATTTTCATGGTGAACTTAAAATGTCTTCAAGAATTAACTGGCATAGTCAGGAGGTGGTCAGTTTGGGGTGTAAAGTCAATGGACAGTGTCCACTTGGACATCATAGGCATGTGGACACTGGCTGGCCAAGGGCAGCAGCACCCAGTCATTGATCTCAGGGTTGATTTCTCAGCCTGTGCTGAGATTAGTGTGAAACTGTTTGGCCTCCAAATTAGAATCATGTTTATACAAGCAGGGGTAGGGGGTCTACTTCAGGGGAGATTATATATATACACTGGTCAGAAAAGAGTCTGCACAGGGTTGACACAGCACCAATTCAATAAATGGGAGGCCACACAGCAACTGGGCAGTAAGTGCTTTAGAATTCAAGCTCACCAAGGTGGAGATGGGCAGGGATGTATCCTAGGAACAAAGGAAAGGCTAGCACACACCAGCTCTACAAAAACTCGCTTTAACAGAGGGAAAACTATCCGCATTCTCTCTGATTTTCATGCACACTGTGCAGCGCCTACTTCTCTCTGAAGGTCAGAAGATGACAGCTGGACTAAGTATCCTGCCTCAACAAGCTTCGTGATGGTAAATAACCTCCTTTCTAGGAAAAGAATCCAGGATCTTTAGTATCTGAGAATGTGTGATCATCATCAGTGCTGATGTTAGTTTCACAAAGAAATACAGATGTTCCCTGGCTTACAATGGAACCACATCCAGAGGAGCTGGCTGTAAATTGCAATCATTAAAAGCTGAAAATGGCTTAGTCAGTAAAGTGCTTGTAGGAATAAGGACCTGAGTTCGATTCCTAGAACCAACATTAAGAAAACCTAGGTGTGGTGCTGCACACTTGTAATCCCAGTGCTTAGGAGGCAGAGACAGGTGGATCCCTAGGGCTCACTGTCCAGCCAGCCTAGCCTAATGAGTGTGCTCCAGGCCAATGAGAGATCCTGTCTCAAAAAATGAGATAGCATTGCTCAGGTATGACATTTGGGGCTGTCATGTAGCCTCCACACACCTGTACACATACATGCATGCACACCCTCTCTCAACATACATGTGCACACATACAAAGCTAAAAATGTATTAAATATACCTAACCTGCAGAACCTCCTAGCTTAGTTGCATAGTAGTGTCGGTCAGGTCCCCTCATGATCCTGTTGCTAACTGGAAACTAAAGTTTGCTGTCACAGCCCAGCACTGAAACTGAATATTGTGCCATGTATCTCTAACTCAGGAAAGAATAAAATTGAGACTGTGAAGGAGGTTTCTTCTGAATGTGCATTGCTTTTACATCATGGTAAAGTCGAAACATTATTAAGGTGAACCATTGCTAAGTCAGAGTCTGTTTGCAACGCTATTTTCTACAGTGTAAATTCATTCAGGCAGAAAGAACTTTTAAAAGCCACTTCAAACATATCATTACCAAAGACCAGAAGAAGCATTCATCAATATCTGATTCTGTCATGTAGAATCCAGCATCAATTAGAACTTAGGTATATGAGGCCTAAGTGGCTACTCCAGGATGTAACCCGAGGCATATCAAAGGTTTCCATTCAGTAAACCAGTGGGAACCAGCCCACTGCTGTACACTACTTCAATGGGGATTTGGTAATGAACACACAAAAGAAGGCAGTATCACACAATTATATCCAGGTACAAAGTAATTTATCAGATTAGTTTGCAGAGAGCACAGTCTTAAGGAATGGGGCAGGTATAGAACACATCAAAGAAAGTTTCAAGATATGCCCCACATTGCATTTACGTAGATATTGGTCAAGACATCCCTTGGTGCTTGGCATGATAGGCCTTAACATAAATGACAGAATGTATGAATTCCAGTTGGAGGGGGTTGGGAGGGGCCAGTGGGGAAGGGGGTATAAAGATGATTAAGATGTTCTGTATCAAATACACAAAAATTCAATAAAAATTTACAAAAGATTGGCATACATATGGCTCATAATCAGCGTTAATATCTTAAGGGCAATGAAGGTCTTACTGTAAAAAGAAGTTGCCTTAAATTTCAATGAAACTGGCATTTGTAAGTCTAACTTATTCATCCAGCTGTTCATTCATCCATTCAGTGACTACCGAGCCCATACTCTAGGCCCAGCATGCTTAGGTGCTGGGGATGAGGAAGAAAGTCACCATCTCCACTCTGACAGCACTTGCATAGAGGGAGGCTGCTAACAGAAAAATTAAGAGTCAAATGAGCTAGAAAATAACAGGCAAGTCTCGCCACTGTGACGAGCACATAATAAGGTGATGAGGTAGAGACTGGCTTGGGGACTCATTTAATTTGAGCAGACAGGCAAGGGGCCTCTGAGGAAACAACATTTATTAAGCTGAGACCTAAACGACAACAAGGATCCAATTACACGTGGATCAGGCAGCGGAACGGCTAGCCCAAAGGCCAGAAAGAGCTTAGTGTCCTGAAGTACACACAGGAGGGAAGGGCTGTGTGCTGGGAACACAGTGGCCAACAGGGGAGGCAAGGCCCAGA